TGGAAATAATATCCTCAGGTGAGGAGTAACAAAACAAATTTTTAAATAAAACGTGCTGAGCTTTATAAATCATTGAAGAAATAAATATGCATCAAACCACAAGGATGGTACCAATACTTACACTGAATAATGAACATGAAAAAGGCAAGAAACACAAAGGGTGGGCAGGGATGGGAACCCACCAAGACCCTTGAACCACGGAAAGTCGAAGAAATGCTGAGGCCACTGGGAATCTGCTCAGCAGAGTCTTTCATAAATGAGTTCCCTCAAGAGCCGTGGTCGGGTGTCCCATTGGACGGTTCAGAGCCAGACTCTCAGGGGCTGATTCAGGACCAGAACCTGGGTCCTGCCTTCCCTGAGCAGGAGTCAGACCATCAGACACATGAGACCCTGAGGCTCAGGTGAGACCTCAGACACTGCTGACCAGCCTCCTGAAACCTGGACGCCCGGTGAGCCTCATCCTGGGGAGACGCAGAGCCAGGCCCAGGGTGGGGCTGTTTCCTTGCTCTGGGGTGTGGTAATCCCGAAGGGTTGCAAGAGCCTTTAACTCATCACATCCTGTGAGACTCTGTACTGCAGGCTCAGGCTTCCTCCATCTGCAGAGCAGGAGCCCTCAGAGCAGACGCCATGACGTCCATCCTCTCTGCTCTTCTCTGCCTCGGTCAGTTGTGGACATGGGGAGGGGGAGAAGGAGGGGCAGCTTCATCCTCTTGTTCATGGGGAACCTCAGGGTCAGTCAGCCAGAGTGGACGGGGCCCTGATGGGAAGGGAATCAGCTCAGACATCCAGGTGCAAATCTCTCACCGACACTCTCTTCCAGGGCTGAGTCTGGACCAGAGGATCCACGTGCAAGCAGGTGAGTTCTCCCCAGGCTCCATGTCCCTCCTCTTACTTCACCCCTGGGGCTCAGGAGGGAGCGCAGAGGTGCTGGGTTGAGGTGATAATGAGGAGGTTCTAGCACTACGCTAGGAAATGACGGTGGAGAAGGTCTTGGTCATACAGCCTCTGGTTTGTTTCCAGGGACCCTCCTCAAACCCACCATCTGGGCTGAGCCAGCCTCTGTGATGTCCTGGGGGAGCCCCGTGACCATCTGGTGTCAGTGGACTGGGGAGGCCAAGGAGTTCTGTTTTGAAAAAGAGGGAAGCACATCGCCCTGGTGCAGAGTGAAACCACTATATCTGATGGACAAGGGCACGTTCAGCATCACAAACTTGACAGAGAGTGCTGTTGGGATATATCGCTGTTACTATCGCAGCCCTGCTGGCTGGTCAGAGCGCAGTGACCCCCTGGAGCTGGTGGTGACAGGTGAGTCTAAAGCAAACCCAGCCTCTCAGCCCTGCCCAGCCCTGTCGTGACCTCAGGAGGGAACGTGACCCTCCAGTGTGGCTCAGGGGAGGCATTTGACAGGTTCATTCTGACTAAGGAAGGAGATCACAGGCTCTCCTGGACCCTGGAGTCACAGTCACAGCCCAGGGGCCAGTTCCAGGCCCTATTCCTTGTGGGCCCCGTGACCCCCACCCACAGGTGGACATTCAGATGCTATGGCTGTTACAGGTACAGCCCCCAGGTGTGGTCACACCCCAGTGACCCCCTGGAGCTCGTGGTCTCAGGTAAGGCCCATTATTGTCCCTTCCATTGATTCAGGCAACAAATACGGGGGTGTTATTAGGGTCATTAATTTGAGTGCAGCCCCATATGAGAGGGTGAGGGGAGCACAAGGGCTCCTGGGCCTGAGTCACAGAGAAAGACAGTGAGGCCTGATGTCCAGGCCAGGAGAATGGGGTGATGGGAGGAGCAGCCCCTGTAATTCACATCTGCGCTCTCCAGGTGAGTCTGGGAAGCCCTCCCTCCTGAGCCAGCAGGGCCCCATTGTGGCTTCTGGACAAAGCCTGACCCTCCAGTGTCGCTCTGATGTCGGCTATGACAGATTCACTCTGTCCAAGGAGGGGGGATGGGACCTCCCCCAGAGCCTTGTCCTGCTGCCCCAGGCTGGGCTCTCTCTGGCCTACTTCCCCATGGATACTCAGAGAGACTGACAGTGGGGGGCGGGTACATATGTTAGAGTAGGAAAAACCTTTTCTTTGAGTAGTTGGCCTCCCAGTGACGCCCTGGATATCCTGGTGGCAGGTGATGATCCAGTGGATACAGCCAGGCACCCAGATCTGCACAGGCCCTGCTGCGGGTCTCAGGTGGTGAGGCCAGAATGAAGGTGCAGGGCCCCAGGAGAGAGACAGAGAGAGACAGGGGGTGGGAGGGGAAAGTGAGACTCAGAGAAACAGAGAGAGAGAGAGTTGAGTGTCCTCAGAGAGAGGCCTGATGACTGTCAGGGCAGAACAAGGTGGGCAGGCAGACCTCACCCTCCCTCCCTCTCTCGAGGACAACTGCCTGACTGGCCCTCCCTCTCCTTGCAGCCGGGTTTTGGGGTGGCCTCAGGAGAGAAGGTAACCCTGCTGTGTCAGTCACAGAGCTAGAGGGACACATTCCTTCTGTCCAAGGAGGTGGCCACCCAATGTCCCCCTGCATCTGTTATCAAAGCACCGAGCTCTGCAGTTCCAGACAGAGTTCTCCATGAGTCCTGTGACCTCAGCCCATGGGGCCACTTACAGGTGCTACAGCTCACAGAGCTCCTCTCCCTTCCTGCTGTCACTCCCCAGTGAGCCCCTGGAGCTCCTGGTGTCAGATGAGTGTCCCCTGACCCTGTGCTTTCTGAGCTCAGTCATTCAGGGCCCGGTCCCCAGGAGAGGTGAGGCTAGGATGGATGAAATACAATAAGAGTGTCTTGGGCTGAGCTGTGGGATGAGGTGGGGAAGGCCTTTGTAATGCAGCCTCTTGTTTTCTCCAGGGACATTCCCGAAACCCACCCTCTCGGCTGAGCCAGGCCCTGTGATCCCCTGGGGAAGGCCCCTGACCATCTCCTGTCAGGGGACCCCAGAGGCTGAGGAGTACCATCTGGATAAAGAGGGAAGCCCAGCACCATGGAAAAGAGAGAAGCCACTGAAGGCTGGGGACAAGGTGATGTTCTCCATCCCACACATGACAGAGCGTGATGCTGGGAGATATCGCTGTTACTATCTCAGCCCTGATGGCTGGTCAGAGCCCAGTGACCCCCTGGAGCTGGTGGTGACAGGTGAGAGGACACTCAGGGGTCCCAGCCTCAGGCTCTGCCATCAGGACGGGAATCTGCTCTCAGGGTGTCTCCCTCTCACAGCCCAGCCCTGGGGGACATGAGGGAGGTGTGAGCAACATTTACCATGCTGCCTCCTCCTCACCTAGGATCCTACAGCAAACCCAGCCTCTCAGCCCTGCCCAGCCCTGTCGTGACCTCAGGAGGGAACGTGACCCTCCAGTGTGGCTCAGGGCAGGGATTTGACAGGTTCATTCTGACTAAGGAAGGAGATCACAGGCTCTCCTGGACCCTGGAGTCACAGTCACAGCCCAGGGGCCAGTTCCAGGCCCTATTCCTTGTGGGCCCCGTGACCCCCACCCACAGGTGGACATTCAGATGCTATGGCTGTTACAGGTACAGCCCCCAGGTGTGGTCACACCCCAGTGACCCCCTGGAGCTCGTGGTCTCAGGTAAGGCCCATTATTGTCCCTTCCATTGATTCAGGCAACGGGAGCACCAGGACTCCTGGGCCAGAGACTCAGAGAGAGACAGTGAGACTTGGGGGCCAGGGCAGGAGAAGGGGGTTATGGGAGGAGCAGCCCCTGTAATTCATGTCTAGTCTCCTCATGTGATTCTCAGAAGTCCTCCCTCCTGACCCAGCAGGGCCCCATCATGGCCTTTGGACAGAGCCTGACCCTCCAGTGTTGCTCTGATGTCGGCTATGACAGATTTTCTCTGTCCAAGGAGCGGGGATAGGACCATGCCCGAGCATGATTCCACCGGACGCTGCTGTAGTGAGAAGTGTTCCCACCTGTGGGCACCACTCTGCATGCCCTGTGCTCACCTGGAGGCCTCCAGGACCTCAGTGGTCACCTTAGACTTAGGGGGACCATGGACAGCTCATGAGGAACTAGGGGGATCCTGCCCAGACTCTATGTGAAATTCATGGCTGCTTTCTATATTAAAAAAAACACACACAACTGTATTGTTGAGAGTATTTACAGATGCCCCGCACCCCTTTTTTTCTTCCTTAACCCTTCTCCACCTGGTTCCCTTCCTGTTCTTCCTAGGCCCTCACCACGCTATTCTCTGTGTCCATGGGTTATGCGTAGATGCATGTAAATTCATTGGTTAATCTCTTCCCACCCCTTCCCCTGTCTCTCTGAGATCCATCAGTCTGTTCCATGTTTCCAGGCCTCTGGTTCAATTCTTTTTCTTCACTTTATTTTGTTCACTAGATTCCACATATAAGATTCCACATATAAGATCATGTGATATTTGTGTTTCTGTCACTAGCTTACTTCGCTTAGCATTATAACCTCTGACATATTTTGCACACACCTCTCTATTATTGCTTTTGCTATGAAGACTTTTAAGCAATTGTTACTTACACATATAAATTTAAGGTTCAAACATTTAGGACTTAAACGAGATAACTCTACTCGAACTGTCTTACAAAAGATGCTTCAAAGGTGTTGTGTATTTTTTTTCTTCAGATGCATTTACCAGTTTTATTCATAAAACTGAACCCACCCTTAGCTCAAGAATTGCTCAAGGTCTACATAAATGCATGTCTGTATATCTGAGACCAACCCATAGATACTTGGTCCTCAGCTTTTGCTTAAATATAAGTTCTTATACCCAGATGAGGTAGCTTCCATCTCTCAGAATCCCACAATGAGCAGAGAGATTGAAATAACTCATTGTTTTCTGCAATGGGAGACCATATGTCTCCCCAGTCCTGAATTCTCCAGGCAAAGCCAATCTGTGCCCCAAAGTGACACAGAGAAGAATGCATGAAAGCAGCCGGGACCCTTCTCCAGCAGAGAAAGGGTTTGTGGAGGGACTGGTAGCAGTTAGGTCATGAGAAAGGGGATAGTAATTGAGACGCTGGGCTTGAGTGGCATCAACCCCTCACACAGCCCCACTGGTTTCTGGTTCTCAGGAGCAGCTGACACCATCAGCCCATCACAGAACAACTCAGACCCCAAGAGTGGTGAGTAGGAGACACTCTTCAGTTAATGGGGTTGAGCATAGATGGTCGTGTCCTGTCAAGGGGAGGTGAGACCCCCGGTGGACATCCAGAGTCCTGGGTGAATTTGTCCTGCCCTGACCTCTGTGACCTCTTTGCCCATAATTCCCAGGCTCCCAGGCCCAAGACTACACCTTGGAGAATTCCATCCGGTTGGGCGTGGCGGGATTGGTCTTGGTGGTGCTCGGGGTGCTGCTATTTTGGTCTCGAAACAGCCAGAAACAGATCCAGGATGCAGCCAGGATGTGAACACAGAGGGAACAATGCTCCATTCAGTGAGGGGAAGCCTTTGGAATGAATCTCATGTGCCCAGAATGTTCTGGAAGATAACATGGGACATATGCTGAGGGACCTGTCTGAGGCTCCTTGCAGGTGGAGGAGTCATCGCTCATGTGCAAAGACAAGGTCTGGACCTTCTGCCCTTGGACTGTGGCCCTCTCCGTCCCGACCACTGTCTCCTCGTCCTTATAGGTTTCTCCCCTCTGGTCCTTTCCCCTGTGCCCTTTAATATGATAATTTGGGTGTTTATAAAATTCTTCACTAACAATTTACCCCTTCTGTGTACTTTTGCCATATCCATTGGCCTTTTATTTTTTTAAGGGAGAGCTTGTGTACAATAAAGTCAGTTCTCATCTGTTTCCTCCACTTGACACAAACTAAGAAGACACACGTTTCATGTGTATATTCATGCACCTGACACTGTGTGTTCTCTCTGCTTCTCTGAAAAATAGCCACCCACTGGCCTGTAGGTGTAGCCAATGTCATCCTCACCTCATTCTTTCTATTCCCGTACATCTGCCAGCACTTCTGTCTGGGAGGAAACTGCCTCCTCTGCTTTAGTCTGATGATAATTAAGTCCTCCCTGTATGTCCCTGGTACCTTTCAAGCTGCAACGTAGGTCCTGGAGTGCTTCAGGGCAAGGGAATCCAAGTAAATGTGTTCACAGGCCCTTTAAGAGGAACACCTGGGACTCCAGAAACACTCTATCTCACTCAACCACAATCATCACAGGTTCTTTTAAGCAAAAGTTATGGGGACTTCTCTTCCCAGCTCTGTAACCCTGGACTGGAGGTTCTGATGTTGGTCTTGGACCCCTCACAACTGAGGGAGGACCTTCACAACCTAGACC